GCACCAATACCAATGGACAAAACATAAAGGATGTCTCACAAGAGGCTCCCAAAACTGTCATCTGTCCTGAAATCCCAGTTTACTCACAGCTGTCACTGTAGTGGTGAGCACATGATCAGGACCCACCCCTTTCCTCACATATTCCCCTGCCACGTGTGTAGCCAAAATGCAGATCTCCAATTGACCTACTCTGCTGTCTCCAGACACAATGACCAGAGTGTCTCTACACTGGACACATGCACCTTTTCCTTGTCGGGGCCAGATTAACCTGTAGGTGAGCCCTAGACAGGCCTTAGGTACCAAAAAGTGCATAGTTCCACAGACTTCCACTGAAATACAAACACATTTTGAAATTCCAAGAACGCATGAACACCATTATATTCAACTCTATAGCTCATCACATTCTCAAACTGTTTAATTCTCAGTTTTAAGTCATTACACACTGTTTATGGAACATAAATAAATGTAGCACAGTTATCTAATAACGTCTTCATGCTCGGAAATTAACAAGTCAGACCAGTACAAAAGCAATGTTACTGTTAGTGAAAATGAATTTGCAGCAGTATTAATGAGGAAATAAATTATACATATATTTAATAAGACAGCTCAATGGTTAGATTACAAGCATTACCATCACTCATTTTTAAAATACCTTTCTTCTTCCTTTTCTGCTGGTAAACTTATCAATAACTTCCATCAAAATATGAGGACACTGTAAAACTGTTCTAAATTGCTAACAATGTACATACATTTAGTTTTCCTCCTTTCACCATTGATTGGAGGCAATTATTCACAAGTTTCATCAAATAAAAAGAACAGCTCCAGAACAGCTAGAGAGTGCTAACAGCTAGAGACTGTGTGCATACAAAGGCAAGCGTCCACATGTGTCCCTCAGGCCTAGCTGGTACATGTTCACTGCTGATGCCTTTGCTTTTCAGAACACAGAAGTTTTGTTTTACAATTTCTATATCTACATAAACATCGCAAATATTCAAAGAAATAAACTGCAGAAATCCAATTTTGTACTCTAATTCTTTGTAAGTCTGACTGCAGTTCAATTATTAGGCAGTCACAGATGATATAAAGTCTTTCAATAGAAAATGCTTTGTAATTAATTTAATCAGTGAGTTACAGACTTCTTTGTTTTTGTGCCTCAGTGCTCAGACATTTTTAAGTGGTAGGCCAAAGCGAGCAAATGTAGCCAATACATTTTTACAGTTTCTTTGTACCTAGGAGCAATAGCTAAAGTAACAGAATATATGTATAATTAAATTACTAAACAGATCTCATGACATAGAAAATCAAATCTAGGGTGATTTCTGAATAATCCATCCACTTTCTACCCACTTCTTCAGATACAGGGTCATGGGGAAGCTGAAGCATATTCCAGTAAGCAACGGGCTTAAGGCAGGGTACACCCTGGACAGGACACCAGTCCATCATAAAGCAGACAGACAAACACACAGACACGCAGGCATTCTTACCAGGGCCAAGTTTCCCAGAAGCCAATTAGCCCAGCAGTATTACTTTAGGCTGTGAGAGGAAACTCACAAGGACACCATGAGAACATACAAACTCCATGCAGACAGCACCCCAGGTCTGGAATCAAACCCTGGGCTCCAGCACTGCAAGGAACCAATGCTTACCATTATACCACCATTTTATCAATAAATGAAAACTGAATAATTAGCACATATGCTTTCTTGTATTGGGCCATTCCATGTCAAATAAATCAAATTCACTGAAGTTTGTGCTCACATGTGTTTAGTGTAGTGGAAGAGTGAGGTCAGGTATGTAACAAGGTGAAATTAAAGTTAATTTGGGCCTAAATATTGTGGCCCTAGGCATGTGCCTAGTCTGCTGAACCTTAACCCAGCCTTGTTTCTAAAACTAGCCAAAGACTGAAAAGCCTGATTTTTGAGATTCTCAGTAGCATTATGAAGAGATTTTGGAACTAACAATTATCATTCATTACCATAATGTTCTGATCTGCAGTTTGGTGTAGTTTGTTTGCTTTTTCAAACTGGATTTCCCTAATAAAATGTAGTTGTAAATGGTCAATTTATGATTTATTTGATATAAATGCAATCACAATTATTTCAGGGATCACATTTCAGCAGAAACACCAAAAAGTGTAAAAAATAAACCTGACAATGTCACAGAATCACTCAGAATCTTTATCACATTGTAGCCTGCTTTCGTCAACCTCAAAAGCTAAGCAAGGCTGGGCCCAGGCAGTGCTGGATAGAGCCAGGCTGTGTGAACAATAAGTGATGCTATTACACCAGTAGGCAAATGTTAAACCAATACCCCAGTGCGGTAACATTATGCTGCAGGAGGTGTATTCCGTTGGATAAGACACCACACTGAGGTCTTGAGTACTTAAGTAAAATATCCCAAACTTTGTTAATAGGATTTTTAAACTTGGTGCCCTAGTTAAAATCTGCTTTGTGCATTCACAATGTGGTCTACCTACATTTCCCCTTCAATTAAAAAGGTGAAGTAATTTTTCACCTCTTTACCTAAAATGCTCTGTTGTGAGGCTGCCAGCACAAAAATGCTTCCACATGACACACTGGTGGATGATGCACTTCAGTGCAAGAAGTGGAGCTTCTCCTATATCTGAGATCCTTTGAAATCCTTGGGAATAAAAAAGAAAGTGCAAGACAAATGCAAGCATTTAATTAACAACTGGAGCTGCGTCATTCTGTGTCAAGTCAATCAGACCTTCCCAAGTCATGATTTTAATTTCACTAATATTTGTGTAGTAGAAGACAGAGGTTGAATATTTAGACCAAATCTTTTAGCTCATGTGGACGACAGGACGCAGTGGTAGGTTTGTAGAAATACCTTTTATCTGAGAAATCCAGCGTGAACAAGCAAACATAAACTATACCAAACTCACAGTACAGGGAACCTGGTTTCAATTCCTGACCTGGGGTGCTATCTGTGTGGAATTTGTATGTTCACCCCATATTCACATAGGTTACCTCTGAGTGCTCTGGTTTCCTCCCACAGTTAACAAATATACTGGTAAGTTAACTGGCTTCTGAGAAAATTGGCACTATTGGGAGTGTGTTTGTGTATGCTCTGCACTGGACTGGTGTCCTGTCCAGGGTGTATCTTGCCTTTTTCCTGCTGCTTGCCAGGATCGAATCCCCTGCGACCCTGAATTGGAAGAAGAGGTTAGAGAATGGATGAATTTAAGCACATTGATGAACATCTACTGGAACACTTTTCTTGTGAAAGAGCACAGCCATACTTACAATACATACAGTATAGCCTTGGAGAGATTTTGAATATCTAAACATTTTTGCCTTAAAAATTTAGAATACATATATCTCTACATAAGCTTCTAAAATCACTTGTCTGGCTAGATACATCTTCTGTAGAACTGAAAAATAATTATAACTTCACCATTTCATGTAGCTATGATGTCCAAATGTAAAAAATATATCCAGTTGTCAGTTCCTAAATTTTAAGTCACTGTTTGGCTGAAAACTGAAAGATGAGCTCACAATCTAACAAACTAAGATGCGACAATTTAACCTTATTTGACCTTGTTACAAACCTGACTTCACACTTCCACTACACTAAAAACATGTAAACACAAACTTCAGTGAATTTGATTTATTCAACATGGAATAGCCCAATGCAGGAAAGCAGCAAGCTAGGTAGCATGGTCTTGAGAGTCAGTTTCCTTACTATAAAACCCATACGTTCTTGCTAATATTTTAAAATAAAACCTTAAGCTAATGTTTCTACTTTCTTTTGCTATTTAGATGAAGTATGTCTGCTTGAACCTTCAACAACAGGCTCATGTATTAGCATTTTTGAATTGATAAAGGGAATACTTGTATTTCTATGCCCACTTTCTATGACAGGCTGTCCCACTGAAGAGATTACATAAACCCCCGCCAAGAAATATCTGCGTTTTACATTAAAACGTTAATCATCAAGAGAAAATAATCTCCTTCTTAAAGTTTTCATAGATTATTGAAAAAACTAAGAGTTTCAGCATTGCCAAACTCATCTAAATTCTCACTAACTACGAGAACAAAGATCTACGCGGAATATAACGGAAGATAAATAATTTGTTGCAGAGCTTGTAGTAACTAATTTACCTACCACATATAATGTAGCATTTTACAAATACTGGGTAAATAAGTGCCAGCTTTTCCACTGTTTCCTTCAGCAGTTTCCAAAACTCACCGAATACTTCTAAGAGTAAAACAATCATTACTACTTTCTACGAAAAGTCGCAAAGCACGAAGAAAACAAACGATGCACATCTATAGCTTCATTCAGGACATTACAGCAAAAATCAGACCTGCAAGAAAAACTATGTTTAATCCTAAAACATAAAACATATTGCACAGTTTCAAGTTTTCAGCGTTTAACTTAATTTAACGAGGAGTATTCCGCATAAAACAACAATTCTAATTTACTGGACGATCTTACTGTGTATTGAAAAGGATTAAGAACTTGTTACTTTCATTTTCTTCCATTATTATGAACAAAGCTCCTACAAATACTCGAATAGCCACATTAAACAATCTTAGCACCGGGCTACTGGTGGTTTGTGTAAATTGCTACCTAAATTGTTTCTCATTGTCATTTAAGAAAAACAAGAACACTAGCAGACTGCAGACAGAGAAATAAACCTTATCCGTGTTTACCTGCTTCCGGGACTTTTTTAAAAAGATACAAAAGCTCCTTCGGGATGTCAGTCTGTTAAATGTAGCTAAATTTGAGCGGTGAGAATGGCGAATAAAGAGCGAACACAGTGCTCACTGACTGTGGAGGTCTTTACCCGGGGCTTCCATGTCTGTTTACCAGGCTGCATTCTGGGAGACATACGTCACTCTTTCCGCACGCTTTGCACGTCGGCGCTTAGCGAGGCTTCAGCACCTCCAAGAGGCCTACGCAACTGATGCCATTGTGGCTCTGAGCAAGCCTCGGCGTTGGCATACGAAAATACAGGAAACTTGAGCCAACATGGCAGACAAACAAGAAGTATTTACGGAAACGACAAACGATTTTAACCGCAAAGCGTTTTGGTCTTTCCAACCCCTTGACAAAGCGACGCAATCCGTCTCACAGGCGGAGACGGGTGCATACTGCTTATTTATCTCTTTTGTGAATTGGGTTGGTATAGCTTTTGTAGTCAATAAAGTTTCATTTGAAAACAAGTAAATTGTCGAAGTGATGGGTGCTGTTACTGATGGTAAGTTACTATGAGTACTGAATGTTTTATAATTCAATGTTCACTATTGAACACACGTGTTTTTTTTTTAACTTTTTTGTAGCAATGGCATTACAGGCAATTGACTTAGGAATTCGCTTTTCGCGTCGCCTGCCTCTGTGGCTTTGGATAGTTAATCTGTTTTGTTTTCTCCGTTCCAGACGAGGTTATCCGGAAACGACTTCTGATTGACGGAGATGGAGCTGGTGACGATCGTCGCATCAATGTACTATTGAAAAGCTTTACCAAGTGGTGCAATTCTGGAGCCCCGGAGGAAGGGTAGCTAACTCGTTGACTCTTAATACAGATCCATATACCAGTAGTTTATCTTCTTCAGAAACAAACACGTGGGGAACTGCTCAGAAGCCAACCCCGAGAGCTCTGTCATGTGTTGGGGGTTTAAAACTGACCGTAGAGCTGTGTTGTTTTAGCTAGTAAAATTCCTAATGTCTTGATCGTACCGAATTCATATATCTTTAGCGTGTATATCTGTTGCTGTGTCCAGCACAAGGTACATCCCCATTCTACCTTCGTAGCGGTATCTTGTCAGATTAATAAGTCTACTATATGTCTTGGTTCTTTATCTGTATACAGGTTGTGGAAATACGTTTTTACATAATGTTTTGATGGTATTTCCTGGTGTTTGCTGTCTTATACTGTATCTTTCTTCCTGGGTTGCACTGTGAGGTTGCATTTCAGCACATATCTATGTGGATTCTCCTCAGCACAACACAGCTGTGAAGTAGTTGTTTATTTGTTCATTTTACTTGTGCTAGGAGTTCCCAGTCCTGGTCCTAGAGGGTCAATTCTATGAGTTTTCAGTCCAGCTGTGCTCTTAACTTCAGTCGTATCATTATTTGACTGGATTGGACCCGTTTTACAGCAGCTCTCCAGGAGCTGGTACTTTAAAGAGACCAGACACTCGTGCAAGACAGGGACTGGAAACCACCTGACATTGCAGCTGCAAGTGACATCAGGACGCTAACAGCTGATGCCATGCCTATGTGGTGAAAATGGGACAGTTGTTTCAACCGTGTAATTTGTGCACATAGTTGCATTTCCTTTTCTTCTTTTTTGAAAAATGCCTCAAATGAAAGCAATACAGTCTACTCAGTGATTAAATTTACATAAAAGAGCTGCACTTGTAGTGCATAAGACAATACAGAACCCCTAGATACTTTCTTCAGATTCATCAAAAACTGAAAACTCCAAATGGAGAGGTTTAATCATGGCATTTTCTTTATATTGATTAAACCCCTTGTTTTAAAGCAGTTTCCCCTAAAATAGCACAATGTATTTGCTTACTATATGTGCCTGTTGCATGCTGTTAGGAAGGTTTTGTTCACATTAAAGGTGAAATGTCTGAAATGTGTGGCACGACAGTGCAATTTATTCTGGAGAAACAAGCACCTTGTGAACTGTTGGTAGAATGAGTCAGTGGTTTCACAAAAGGTCACTTCATTGTCTAGATCACATACTGGCACTTCAGTTGAAGCAGGAAGCAGGCTGGCAACATATCCTATTGTTTTCAAGGTGCACACAGGAAACAGTGAAATGTCTTTCTTTTTAGGTACACCCAGTTTCAGAGGATGCTAGGTACACTGGCACAGTGCGAATTCTCCATGGGGAAGACCCTGCTGGTTTATGATATGAACCTCCGGGAGATGGAAAACTATGAAAAAATATACACGGATATAGGTAATCTGAATCTGTCCTATTCTAGTCCTTTACACCTTGTGGCTGTTTGTTTCAGCTAGCATGCTTATGCTTAAATTTTTAGGCCACAGTTGTTTTTTTTCGTTGTGTGCAGCACTTAGCTTTCTCAGTTCATTTTTGTATTTAAGTAGCTAATCTTTTATCCAATGTCTTATGCTACATGTACATATAAGTAAAGTTGTCTCATAAAAGGCAGAATGAAATACAGAATTAGATCACTTTTTATATATGCAGGCGCAAACGTAATGAAAATTGGCCTCCTTTTCTTTATAAAAGAGACCACGCATAGTTGTGCGTCATCTGTATCTGTGGTCTCTCAGTCTTGTTCTTGAAAACGTTCATTCATCAAGTTTTGTAGATAACCATAAACATCTGGATGAAGACTTGAGAAACAATTGAACTGAGAGACTGTGGCAGGCATTTTGTTAAATTAAGCAATTTAGAGATCACCTGGAAGCTGCAACAAATATCTGGATATACACCGGCCCTCAAGGACCAGATATGGTTAATTGCACAAATTACTTGCTTAACCTTTAGAAATGGTGATTTATACCTTCACTTTAATATGGATAGGAACTCTCAAAGACTACACTTGATAGAGATGTGTAAGTTAAAGGGGAACTGCAATGCTATTTTTATGTTTTGGGTTTAGAAAGAATCAGCATTAAAGAGTACATTTCAAACCATAAGATAAGTAAAACGTAAACAGTAACTTGTAAAACCTCCAATTTACATCACAAAATATACGAGATTTCCAGGTATGCATAGTGCCATATTCTGCAATTTAGAACAAGCCAGCAAAATGTCTGGTGACATAGTACGGCCCTTTTACGTTGTAAACAAGCTTGCTTGTTTTTTAATCCAATAGGAATATTGACTCTTGACTTTGAGATCCCATAGGAACAATTTTGCGATGAAATGTCTGCAGCACAATCTGTACTTATTCACTCATACATCGCAGTAGATTAGTCATTACGGTGGCTAGTGAGCAGGAAGGGAGGGAACTCTTGCTCTCTCCCATGCTGAGACCAGAGATTTTCGACAACACGACGACTCGCAGTACGTTCACAAAGGTCATGATTCTGTGCTTGAAATTTGTACATTTCTTCTATCGCATTAATTAATTTGTTTTATACCGAGATTAAATAACTGATCTGAGAAATTAGGACTGCAATTCTCCTTAAATAGTATACAAGTGCATAACTTGTATTTTCTTTGTTCATCCTTCCTTTGATGTACATAATGCACCTTGTTACATAAAAAAAAAAACAACAGTTCAAGACGCAGCATATGCCCAGTTGTAACCAGTTTTACTGTAATTCTGCCATACCTTCTGTAACTCTTCTTGCTCACCAGCATGACATTTGCCTTATCATGGATAAGTATTTAAATTCTGGTTTGTATTATTTTTTTTTATTAAAGAGCAAAACATAACGTCGGCACATGAGAAAATTTCCGAATGCAAAAAAGAGATACTGCAAGCAAAGAGAATACGAAAGAACCGTCAAGGTAAGGAATTATCGTATTTTTAAGTATGGGGCCATCTGTTACATTGTACTTCTTTTTAAACATTTTATCACATTCAAAGTATTTAAAAATTCAGTTCACAGATTGCATTGCTGCGGGCTATGTTTCTAGACAATATTTAGGTTAGGTCCTACAGGACAGCTGTAGTGTAGGTTTTTGTTTGCTGGTCATAAATCAGAATAGCATTACAAGAAAAATATTGGTTCTCCAGTACTCAGTGATGAAATATTAAGTCCTGGATTTAACAAAAATAAGTTTTATGTGTATCAGCATAATAACCTTTCATGTTTCTTTTTTCCAAGTCACCCAGCATTTAATATTTTTGAGTCCTGAGATCTTAAAATATACAGTAAATATTTCAATTAAAAGTAGAACCAGGAAACTGCAAGAAATGTTGAAGGTTCCCCTACAAGTCCCTACCCACTTATTTAACAATCTGAACTGCAAGTAAACTAAAGGTAAAAGCAGAATGATACTTTCCTAGTTTGGAGATCACTGGCCAGAAAGTTTTTGAAACAAAATAAGTTAGCTATCTGATATTTAAGTTTCGGCAAGCGCATAATGACACGGCATAAAAAGTATCACTGCAGCCTGTGAAGTGCCAGACTGAAGCAGTCTTGGGTGCTGATGAAACACAACTGGTGCAATGGTTCACAAGACAGCAGTAATTTAATTTGAATACAAACTGACAGACATGAGACTGCAACACTGGTCTCTAGCTGCAGATGCTGAAGAGCCCCAGTCCAGTAGATTTTGTTTGTCACTGTTAAATCACTCTTTCTGAACACTTGTAACAATTTCATTATGATCAAGAAAGCAGGTGATTTCTTATTTTAAGTAATTCCAAGATAATTTCTGTACATTAATAACCCACAGTATCCTGTAAGATTCTGGCACTATAATTGTATCTGTTATGTTCACACCTAATTGGCCAAGTTGTCTTTGAACTGGAGCGGTTTGTGTTACAGGGTTCACTGGGCATCTGTCACTAGGACAGGTGATATTCCTTTGTGGGCAGGAAAATTATCACAGTAACTTAGGAGGTGCAAATTAGAAGCAGATAAGTGTTGCTCATTGAATCTGTCAAGTTTCTGTTCAACTGGTGCAGTGATTCCCAAACCGGTGGCAATTTGACTTGTGAGAACAATTTCTGGTCTGGCAGCCATTCTGGTTTGTGGACAAATGTCAGTGAATCAGATATATGTGTTCTTTGCTTACTAAAACATGTTTGTCAACATGAGTGTTATAGGCAACACATCTTGGTTTATGGAGGAACCTAATTTTTACATATAGTGATCCTGTTGGTACTACATATACATTTTGAAGTTAATTGGCTAAAAGGTTTTTGCATAAGAGCAGTTTGCTAGGTGGTTTGAAAAATGGTTTAGGACCAGGTGGGTGTGTAAAAAGTATCATGGCAACCTTTTAGCTCTGACCAGTTTCAGCTCAATTGTTGCAGAGGCTCACAAGTCTTTGAAAGATTTGTCAAGTACATGGGTCAGGCCTCAGACACAGAACCCCATTTGTGATCTATATGGAGTTGTTTGTTTATATGGTCTTTGAACATAAGCAGTGTGAAAAGAATATAAAAATCCTTTCAACAATGGTAGTCTTGAAGGCCTAAGTATCCAAGCATTTCTTTCTTGTAAGTGTTTTTTTCTCTTTTTTTATAGAGTATGATGCTTTAGCAGAAGTCATTCAGCAGCATCCAGACAGACATGAAACTCTGAAGTAAGTGAGACGTGTTCTGCAGTGTTAAGAGTTGCCATTTTACTAGCACAACAAGAGCTTCTTATATAGACACTATGCACTTTGCCCAAGTTTCTCCCAGAACAGAAAATATAGCACAAAGAGGGTTTCTGCAAGCTAATGTGGTTGGGGAAAAAGTAATCTCAATGGTGATTTTACTTGTATTTAGTTGATAGAGACAATCATCCATTTATTGCTCCTTTTTATACAGTAGGAAGCATTACTAGTAAAAAGATAGACATGAAACTTGGAAATGGCAATAAGAATCAGAAATGCTTACTTGCAAGCTAGAAAATTCTGTCCTTTTTTCACTTTTCAGTTCGAAATGCTAGTGAACCTGATATTTATTCTGTGACTAAAATAGATTTGGAGTTAAGTGGCCAATAATGTCTGGGAATTTAGTGTTAGAGGCATTGTATTCACAATGAAGAAAAAAGAAATTTCCAACTTGGTTTATGCAGGCCCTTCGTTTTCATTTACAAAAATCCAGCTGTTCAGTTTGCATGCATTTACAAAACCAATCAGTGCAATGTGCACCACTGGTACATATTATCACCTCATTGTGATCTGTAAGATATGAATATCGTCTTTTGAATTCAATTATTAATTCAGTCGTCCAATTATTTTTTCTCTACTTTTCACCAGTTTAACATTGTTAGGGGCTGTGGTGTTTCACTACAGCTTCTCTATTAACATGTAAAACTGCTAAACCATGTCACACTTGGGGCTCTCAACAGTGCCCTCCAAGCAAAGGTAGTGGGAGGAGTACTGTGGCTGTGTAGTGCATCCAGTAAATCCCAACTTTTGTATACCGAGCCAAGAGGTCGCTGGACAGTTCAGGCCCACCAAATCAGTTGCTTTAGGCCAATGATATAGCCCTAGCTCAGAGCGGTAATGTCTTAAAGTTTACCCTGCATTCTAAGCTAGCTCCATTACAGCTTGCATTACTTGAGACCTCTTTTTCTGATGTCTTATTTGAAAACAAAATACCAATAAATTGAACTTCATTGCTGATTTTCAGTATTTGTTAAACCCGTAGGCAGCTTGAAGCCCTTGACAAAGAACTGCAGCTTCTGTCTCGTATGAAAGAAAGCGTTGAAGACAAGGTAATTCAGATACTGAAGTGTCTGTGTCTTTTTAAGAATAGTATTTTTTTTAATGATCCCCAGTTTGAAATACTGATGTGGCTCCTTCTCCCTCTCCACAGCTTGAACTACGTAAAAAACAGTTTCATGTTTTGCTCAGCACAATCCATGAGCTTCAGCAGACACTAGAAAGTAAGTATCGCTACTGCGTACCATTCCACTGATAGACTACCAGCTGGTCCTCATAAACCTAACGCCAGCTGGTTTACGTTCAGAGCTCTCTCAGATAACGTGATCACTTTGAACTTTTTCATTATTTTTTAGCTTTTAAATTTTGTTTAGTTATTTCATGTTACCTTAAATGTTACATTTTAGAGGTAAAGATATATTCTGTTTTTAAGCAGTTTGAAATTATAAGTTGAAATTCAAGTGTAAGTCAACCAAATATGGGAGTAAGGGTATAAGGGGGATTCTTGCATGTAAGGATTGGTTCCAAGTATACCCTGTACTGGCTGTGGGACTGTAAAGAATTAGAATTAGATGAGTTCTTGAGGCGGGACATTTTACTCTTGTCAGACTGGACTGACTGTACTGTGATCTTGATTAGTGATTCACTGAGATTATAATCAGACTCCACTGACAATGACAGTTCAGTGTGAGACACTCCAGGCTGGACTGGACTGACTGTACTGTGATCTTGATTAGTTATAAACTGAGATTATAATCAGACTCATTGACACTGTTATTGATTCAGTTAAGTGCAAAGGGAAGGAAAACCACCAGGTTTAAGGGGTCCAGGTAAAAAAAAGAACTTGCAAAGGTCCCAGCTATGCAACTTGGTTCAGTTTAGGCAGCAGTGTGGAGCCATGGTCAGGTTTTTGAACTTCTAACCAGAAAGTTGTGGGTTCAAATCCCAGGTGAGACACTGCTGCTGTGTCCTTAAGAAAAGCACTTCACTAAAAGTGTTCCAGTTAAATACTCGGCTGCCTAATTGGGTACAGATATCGGCAACTTTGGATAAAAGAGTTAGCCAGGTATAAATTAGTAGTTCAGTAGGTTCACTTCTGTCTTTAAACAAATTAAAAACTTAGAGCTCAGCTAAAATGAAAACCAACAAGTTTGTGGGTCACCAGGAACCCCTGCAATAGTCAACAATATAATGAGAATCAGTGGATGTAGTACTTACACTTTTACACTGTAGTCATACAGTATTATCAACTAGGATCTTTAACACCTTAGGAAAGCCGAAAAGCAGAAGAGCGATTTTCTTAAAATCGTTTTTTTTTTCCACTAGATGATGATAAGTTCTCAGATGCTGAAGAATCCCAGGAGAGCCAAATTGAAACTGAAAATGGACATGAAGTCTAAAGAACATTTTTTGAACCTAATTAGTTTTACTGGAATTTTATTCTGATTCGTTTCATTAGTATAATGTATTATGAAGTTCTTGTACAAAATGGATCATTTAAATGCTGCAAAACAGAATGTCTCTAGCCATCAAAGTCTCTTCCCCACCTTGGGGAAAGGTCTCATTAACACCAGCACCTTTTATAAGAAATATGCATGTTACTGGTCAAGCTTATTCAATTGTGAAATGCTTTTATTAATAAAATCATAGTGTTTGTACATTCACTTGTGGTGTTATTTGACCTGAAACTTCTCCTAAAGGTTATAACTGTAGGTGTTATGAAGAGAAGTGTGTAGAAGAGATGGGGAGATAGTGAATTTTGTATCATCCCCTGAACATGGGATCCTCAAGTCCAATTTCTGACTCCAATTATTCTTATTAATAGTTTATCTGACTCTGATGGAGAAATGTTCTCTTGGTTTAGCAAAAAATGCAAAATTTGTTCTATATTACTGCAAAAGCTGTTTACGAAACAGCAGCAGTCTTTACAAACTGCACAACTGCTGTAAGAATATTCTGTCCTCTGCATACTATATATATACAATTACATTTCTAAATTAGTGTAATCATCTGCCACTCTCTTTAATATTTCACTACAGACTTTACCAAACCAGGGTGGGGTTGAAAAGAACTAACATTGCCAGAGCTGGTTGGTCAATGTTTGTATTGTTCACGTGTGAGAAATGGTGGTTTTTCAGCTGGACCTATAGTTAGAAAACCAATCACTCAATCATGCCAAGAGTATGAAAGAAAAAATAAGCGGATATCGCCCTTTAAACTTTCAGTTGAGTACTGATTCCACGTGCTGGCAAAAACAAAGATCTACCGCAGAGTGTCAGGAGTTTTTGGATAAAGTAAGGCTAACGTTTGTCATGAGTTTTGGCTTTTGTAAGCTAAACTGCACTATCAGGCAGGTTCAGCAACAACATGAACAGAGTAGACGCAGGTTCTTCCATTTGCGTTGCTGAGCCCCCTTCTTGGACACCCTCTCAAACTGTTTGGAAGATTGAAGGATCTCGTCTCCCAGGCATTCGCACTGCTTCAGCTCTGCATGTCTCTGAGCCAGCAGCATCACAGACTTATCAGCCATGGTTCCGATCAAATCATCCACCTGAGGAGCAAATGGTGATTTAGGATTTATACAAAGAAGGAGGAATGTGTAAGTACCAATCTTTGTCCACTTGCAGCTTATCTGAGAAATTTCTAGATTTGTTAGAATGCGAATTTATTAGCTTTGCCACATTAAAGAATGTTTGTGTCTAAAATGCAGCCATTGAAAGATGACACATGCAATGTGTCCGGCCAGTACAGAAGGAACTAGCATATTTTCAATTTGTCCGTACATTTTTTAAATGATGAATATACATATAAAATCCCAGGTTCACAGTGTGCAAAAACAATATGGAGTGTGATAATCCTATAATGTGTTCAAAAGAAACTCTTCTTGTAAAAAGGTAAGATTTCATAAATTGATTATACTGTATGTTTTGGGAGTCGTTTTGATAAACTCATTATTTATGACTGGCTTCAATATATTAAAAGTGATGTTGATTGTCATATAGGCATTAAATCACCCTGAGAGAATGAATTGGTCCAAGTGTTTTAACCAGCTGAAGAAAGAAACCAATATGACCTCACTTACAACAGGGCATAACAACAACTCAATGCCGGCTCTGGAGCCAAGTCCTCTTCAGCAATGAATCAATGAGTGTGGTGCAGACATGCAGATTGAAATGCTAATGGTTGTGTAGAACAGACCAATCAACAGAGAGGCCCAAGTGTAATGGTCTGGGTGGGAATTGCACTTGTAGTGATAGCGGGCTGACTGCTTAGTGCTACATTGAATACTGTAGGTCCTGGGAACTCACTGTCTCATCTTCCTGTGGGTCTATCCTGACATGAAATACTCCTGCAGCATAATTTATGCACTCATATGAACAGCCTTCTTGCAAGATGAGAATGTGACACTAATGCAGTAAATGCCCTGCTGGAGCCATTGAACATTTGCAGGAATAGCTGGTCCAATAATAATAATAATAATTGCTTAAACTTATATAGCGCTTTTCTGGACACTCCACTCAAAGCGCTTTACAGGTAATGGGGACTCCCCTCCACCACCACTAATGTGCAGTATCCACCTACTCTTTTCGAGAAACACCCTGGGATTTTTAATGACCACAGAGAGTCAGGGTCTCGGTTTTACGTCTCATCCGAAGGACGGCGCCTGTTTACAGTACAGTGTCCCCATCACCATACTGGGGCATTAAGACCATGTGGCATTAAGACAATGTGTGGCAGCTAGAGACCTGTAAACAGGTAACCAGTAAATGTCTTTGAAAGGAATGAAATAGAATCCCACAGAACAGTATCATGACATAAGAAAGATTAAAAAAAGGGGAGGCCCTTAAGACCATGTGGTGTAGTTTTGGTGTTGAGTATCGTAGTGATCCAAAAAACTCATCCAGGCATTTCCTGAAAGAAAGTAGGATATTGGATGGGTAGTTTATTTGGGAAAGAAGTGCCTTCTGCTCTGTTTAAACGCACTTCCACATTAGTTCTCCTTCTGCTCTTTGGTATGCATTTCACTGTTCATTCTGAAGAATTCCATTGGGTTGACTTTGTCAATGCTTTTTAAGATTTAAATACTTGTGTCAGTTCCCCTTGTTGTCTTCTCTGTTCGACTAAAAAGGATCAACTACTCCTGGATGAATTCCAAAGTAGCAATATCTTTATCAGCAATTCTCCAGCCGCTGGGTGCTACCCCTCTCTTAAGGGACTGTTAGAACAGTTGCATCAATGGCTTCTGAATAACATCCAGGAAATGATACCATCAGGCCCTGGGGATTCATTAATCTTGAGTGCTTCTCGTTCCCAAAACAACTCTCTATGCCACTACTATCCAGTACAGAGTTGTGTCCTTTCTCTGCCTGAAGTATGTTGTTAACTTATTTCTTAGTAAACAGCTGAGCAAAATATTTGTTTTATTTGTAAATCAGACATTTCAATTTTATTGTGTAGACATTTACTATTTTTGTTCTGGGTACATTTTACTTCACCCTTCACAGTTTTTTTGCAGTTGTAACACTGAAAGAACTTTTTATGATTTTAGCTCCATTCCAAAATTCCTTTCAATGTCTCACTTGGCCTTTCTGATATGCTTTTCTTTACCTGTGCTTAGAATTAATTGGATTCCTTTCTTTTACAGTATCCTGTTGTTTTTAAATAATATAATGAAGCTCTATTTAACTTGTATTTTTCCTAATTGATTTTTCCGTTACATTTGATACGTGGGATACTGTTTTGTGCTCACTTTTGGATTAAGTATGTTGTGGCTTCAAGCAGAATCTGATTAATATGTTGCCATCCATTCTCCACTGATTTCACATCTATTCTATCCCATTTTACTTCTCTTAAACTGTGTCTCATTCCTTCAGATCTGTTTTCCTGAAGTTTTAAACTTTTGCTTTGTCTCAATCAGCACAGTTCCAAAACAAAGCACGCAATATTTGATCATAGTTCCCTAATGGTTCTCTCAGATCTTGAACTGACTGTTTTGAAAAGTTAAGAACTACAGAAACATCTGCAACCTGATGGAAAGTGTATGTTACAGAATGTGTTACAGAGACTGCTTGTAATGTACAGAGTACTAACGTCTGACAATCACCATAGTGAAATATTGATCAGGGCTGGTTCAATAAAACATCACTGCAACTCCTATAAAAAGATTTTGTAATTTTCCCTATAGGTTGTGAATATCTTGCATTTATAAGTATTTCCTTTGATGCTCAGCATACCCTACCTGAGTCTGGAATTTTCCTATGGTTAAGATTGACTGTTTTCTGTTTTTCTTAACACGATTCCTTCTTCTCTTTTTAAAAAAGGACAAGCACTTGCCTTTCCTTCGATAAGGTACCTATGAAATTTAAAGATATCTGATTAGACATGGCTTTTTCTGATATCGCCCTTTAGGCTTTCAGTTGAGTACTGATTCCACATTCTGGCAGAAACAAATATCTATCGCAGAGTGTCAGGAGTTTTTGGATAAAGTTAGGCTAAAATTTGTCATTAGTTTTACCTTTTGTAAGCTAAAGTACCTTTTGGCATCTTGCTGGTAAACTGGTAACAGACACTCTTCTGGAGATGTGCCTGGATCTCAGTATCACATTACGTCCAATGAATTTCTTAGTTTCTGTGTCCACAACATCAACTTGGATGGCTGCTGTAACAAATTCAGTAAAGAGTGGGAATAATACTTCTATGACTATTTTCATTTGAAGTACGGACCAAAACATGCAACATTGTGCAGGTTCATCTGCATGTACTGTGAAAGATAGCCACTGCGAGCAAGATGTTCTAAGAACATTTCTGTAGCTGCTCTTTCCACCACCAAAAAGGGCCAGTGATCTTCACATGCTCATGATTTAATGTTAATTGAAAGTACATCAGATGAGCAGTTGCAGGCCTTTTTCTAGAAGTAAATACTTAAATAAAAATACCACCAGAGGGCGAAGTTTGAACTACAGAAATTAAAAAAAACAAAGTGAAATGTTTATACTGAAAAATGTTTAAATATAATTTCTGTAAATATCATTTGTGGGAGAAGGACAGCATCTGAGATTAAGCTTTGATAACCTCAAATCTGTTCACAAAGCTTCCAATATAGTTTTAAATTATAAAAGACGGTGTACTCAACAGTACATTCATTTTGAGACCAGTACAGACTGGACAGACTATTTTATTTCGGCAGCAAAACTACAGATTGTTTCTTTGCCAGCTGGACTAGTCAGAGAATTGTGGATCATCAGATTAACGGTTTACAGAAATTAATTTTAATTCATTCTTAATTTAAAAAAATCATAATTCGACTGAATATCAGCACTGCTGCAGAAATATGTTTGATATTAAACTTGAAATGGATACTTGTACCATACAGTTTGTTTCTTCTATACACACCACTGTTTTGTGGAGGTGTACTAAATGACTTGATGATGTCATTCTCTTCAACCTTGGAAAAGGCAAAGCGTAGAGATTTCTCCTTCTATCATGCTTCTCAGTGCAGTGTCCCGGTCTGCTGGGATGTCTTTCGGGAAACAGTGGGGATGGCCAGCACTTTTCAAGAAACAGTTGTTTGCCAGTACTGACTGCATTAGAGCATTTCTTCTGGGTATTTTCTGTGTAGGTTGTTTTGTTGCCCTGGTCCTCCTGGAGGTTTTGATGGAATGGA